TTTGAAACCAGGAATTATGAGCCCTCCTACTTTATTATTAAAGTCCAACACTGATTAGGGAGCTCTGGTAGCGTAGTGCCTAAGGCACTTGACTGCTAACCAGAAGGATGGTGGTTCAAACCCACCAGCCACTCCTCAGAAGGCTGGACAATCTACTTCCGTAGTGATACTGCTTTGGAAACCTAAGGAGGGGTCGCTATGAGTTGGGTCCAACTCCATGGCACATAACAACAACATTGATTAACTATTCAGGGTCCCTTACCCTTCCATATAAATTTGAGGATTGATTTTTCTGTTTCTGTACAGAAGGCTGTTGGAATTTTGATGAGGATTGCATTGAATATAGACTTCTTTGGGTAGTAATGACATCTTAACTATAGGAAGACTTCTAATTCATGAACAAGGAATGTTCTTCCATTTATTTAGGTCTTCTTTAATTTCTTTTAATAATGTTTTATATTTCTCCAAGTACAAAACTTTCCTGGTTAATTTTTTGTTTTTGATGCTATTGTAAATGGCAATGTTTCTTATTATTTCCTTTTCCACTTGTTCATTGCTCATGTATAAATACCTGATTTTAATTTAATGTGTTGGCCTTATAGCCTATAACTTAGCTGAATTCATTTATTACATCTAATAGTTTTCTTAGAATAGCAGAGTTTTTGATGAACAAAAGAGTGAAGCTTTCTTTTCTATAGTATCCACGTAAATTAGTATTATATGCTAGAATAAAGCAAAACTATTATTTTAAAAAATTTACTACTTAAGTATCAGTAATATCACATGCAAATAAAATTTTGCTGAAGATAATTCATAAATGGATGCAGCAGTGCATCAACAGGGAACTGCCAGAAATTCCAGCCAGATTCAGAAGAGGACATATGAGGGACATCATTGCTCGTCAGACGGCTCTTGGGTGAAAACAAATACCAGAACAATGTTTATTGTATTTTATTGACTACATAAAAGCTTTCAGCTGTATGGTTCATAAAAAATTATAGATAACATTTCAAAGAATGGGATTTCAGAACACTTAATTGTGCTCATGAGGAACCTGTAGACAGACCAAAAGGTAGCTGTTCAAACAAAATAAGGGGATACAGTGTGGTTTAAAATCAGGAAAGGTGCGTGTTGGAATTGTATCCTTTCACCATACTTATTTAGTGTGTATGGTGAGCAAATAATATGAGAAGATGGAGTATATGAAAAAGAACATGGAATCTGGTTTGGGAGAAAATCTGCAATATGCAGATGACACAAGAGCTAATCTGAAAAGTCCTGTGTCTAAATAACCATTCCTCAAAAAATAGTTACATAAAAAGTGCATTGAATCTAATCTACTCATTTTAAACCATGGAAAGCAAACATGTTTAACCTCCTTTAAATTTTATATATATAAGGAACAATTTCATGTACTTGAAAAATTTCATCGAGTGTTGTTATTCTCCCAAAGACTGCTACCGTGCCAGACACAAACCCAAACTAACTCTTCTATAACATAAGCATCACTAGCATTAAGAAAAATCGTGGATTAAATGGGTAATCACTCATACATCATTAAAACTAAGTGCTAGACTACTAACCAAAAGGTTGGCAGTTCAAACTCAGTCAGAGGCACCTCAAAAGGCCTGGAAATCTGCTTCCAAAAGGTCACAGCCTTGAAAACACCATGGAACAGTTCTACTCTGCACACATGGGGTTGCCATGCATCAGAAATGATTAGAAGGCAAATGAAAACAACACGGGTTTAAAGGATTGCTGTTACATGCAGAGTAGCTAAAGCAAACAGAAGAAATGGCGAAGGAAAAGAGCTGAACAGCTGATTCAAAGGGTGACCTGATTTTTTTTTTTTTTTTAAAGATTAATAAAATTGACAAACCACTGTCAAATTTAAGAAAGGAAAAGAGGTAGGAATACAAATAATATGAATAAGAGAAGACATGGGCAACATCACAACAGAACCAACTGAAAATAGAAAGAAAAGTAAAAAATCAACAAGACTAGAAGTTGTTATTTTTTAAAGATTAATAAAATTGACAAACCACTGTCAAATTTAAGAAAGGAAAAGAGGTAGAGAATACAAATAACACGAATAAGAAATGAAATGGTCAACATCACAACAGAACCAACTGAAATAAAAAGAATAATATCAGGATACTATGAAGAATTGTGGGAGCTCTGGTAGCGTAGTGCCTAAGGCACTTGACT